CTGGCAGGAATTAATTATGGAGATAGAATTCAAGCTAAAGATATGCCTGCACATTATCAGAATCTTCCTATATTATATGATCATTATACTTCAGAAAGCTGGGTAGAAAGAAAGAAAGAACAGTTATGGAGACGATTAAATAGTGTAATATAGTACAATAGATTACGAGTATGTGCAACAAATTTTTCAGACTATAGATTCTTTATTATTACATATTCATATTTTTTTGTACCATATAATCTGCATGCATGATCGTCTAGTATAATTGTGAAATGTACTACCTGCGAAATAAAAAAAACTGATTTACCTATTCTGGGTTAGATCCTCAGCAATATACTGTATAACTATTTTAATAAAGTATTTTTTCGAGAAAGATCCCGAATATTATATTATTCAGCCATGCGAAGCGCCCAAGGCCAATACATGTGCGACATGAATTAGCACGTTTTCGATCCTCGTTAAAGTATATATGATGTAATATGTGATAGTTCACAAATCATCTATGAAACTATGCTTGTGTGACAAAATAATTTCACACATAAACTGATCCCCAAAAATATTTCAAATTTTTTTCCCTATCTGAATAGCTTTTATTTATGAGTTTATTTCCTCCGATGCTAGAGTCTATTTCTACTAGATTTCGACTGGAGTATATTTATATAACGTTGCCAGGTCTTAGTATTAACTATTAAGCGGACGGGTAAGTGAAATATAAAAAAAGTCTATATGCATTATCCTCAACAACATTCTAAATATCGAGATCTTCAATGCATATTCCAACATGCTCTTATCTTCGAACACAAACTTTTGGCGCAAAGTGCCTTGCATATTTTCTCCTATCTCTTCCCCAACATGAATGTGAGTTTAGAGAGGTGCAAATGTGGGGAAATAGTGGCATTTAAAAGGGTGGTATAAGTAATTTTTAGCTTTTCTCCGGTTATTTTGCTTTTTGCGTTATCTCAGTACATTAACATTATTTTATACTCCAAACTAACTGCACAAACATATCTACCGTAATGTATAATAAGATTTACGAATTCTTGACAACTGCTGAGAAACGTTAAATAAACGCTACGTCTATTATTTATTTTGAAATGAAAGAAAACCGCTGGGTTTTCTAAACAGAGTTAAAATCAATTGTAGAACGAGCCGTGGGATCTGCTAGCAATGTATTTATGGAAGGTTCTTCTCGTCAATTAAAAATTTTCTGAATCCTACCACAGGTTAGTTAGGATTTATACAAACATTTTAGTTTTTATTATTATATGATGATACTGTGTGATCGTTTACTAAAGTAAACCTGAATAAACAAGTTGTTTTTTGGTTTGTTGCTTATATTCGACCTACCCATTCAGCTCGCTTGCCAGTAAATACTTACACGTAGTAGAGGGGTGTATATGCTATAATCTGTTATGCAGTTTTGTAGTTCACCCTACCAACCTATTATGTGAAAAGGTTATT